CACCTCGCTGCCAGGAGAGAAATTGTTATGTTATACGCTATGTCATGCAAAATCCTATTGGCTATCAATAAAATACATATTTTACTACCAGTAGAAAGTAGTTTTGATTTTGTAACTCGGTGAAAACAAACCTAAATAGCATTTATCCACAGACTGGCGGATGTTCCTGACAGGGCGCCGCCATTTTTGAAAATCGTAAAGTCTGTTAGAATTAATGAGATTATAGTTTGTTTTCATCAAGTTAGAAAATCAAAACTACTTTCTACTCGTAGTTAAATATGTATTGGAATCATAACCAAAAGGGTTTTGCATGACACAACTTATAACATAACGATTTCTTCCACGGAAGCGAGGTGGGGGTCGAAGTCACAATACTGCGCGATAAATTTCTTGCTACATTCACATGGTTAATGTCCACTCACCAGTATGTAGATACTAGTCAATGTGCGTCTTTATATTTGGTCTTATAATCCTAATTAGTTTATTATCATACTTTTATGCATTTTGAAACTAAATAAAAAGCTGACGATCTGCTGATACTTATAGTGAATTTATAACAGAACTGTAATATCTAGACATTTTATAGTTTGCCAATGTGAATCATAATTCGCACACACACCCTAGTGTATGTTGTCTGTCTCATTACACTTCACGGCGAAAACAATGATTCTGTTGAATGCTACGACAAATGATTAAAAACAAAATGCAAATATTAAAATTAAAACAGATTAAAGTTATAGGAACAATATCAGGCCATTACCTTGTTTGAGGAATGTATCCATCAATATCCACAAAACTGTTCCAAATGATGTGTCTTTTAACAGTTTAATATACGAAAAAGTGATAAATCTTTTCAGGTATTGGTGTATAGTCTCATTGGTCACCCAAGATAGCACACCTGGCAACTAATTGCATAATGTCCGCCTTTCATTAAAAACAGTAATTTAGTTAGCCAATAATGGGCAATCAATCAATGTATTGCCGGTTAATCCTTTGAAAGAAGGACGTTGTTTTACGCAGACACCGACACGGCAGAGTGTATTCAGTATAGATTAGTAAATCTACATACATAAACACTACCTTTGACAATTCCGCTGTGTAAGATAAAAGTAATTAATCAATCAGCGTGTTATCGGTTAATCCTTTGATCGATGTTCATAATGTTGAATATTTACTCCAGACACAAGAAATGCCAAATGGGAACCTTTGTCGGGTAATCTAAGTGTGTTACCACTAATTATACCTGTTATAAATTCATTAACTGACCATCAAGTGAATGATGACAAATAACATGTGTAGGTTTATACCACCTAACACGGGTTACAACAAGGAGTATTAATTGCTGTATTGCATGTGAAAACTTATGGGCCGACACTGTTTTGAGAATACAAACAGATTTTACATGACATGATTAAATATCGAGGTAAAAAACACAGAAATGGGATCAATTTGGATCAGTCATTATACAAATAGGGCCTAACGACACCAATCAATTGTGACAGAAGCGTCTATGAAAACAAGTTGTAACTCGGAAACTAGGCAAAGCAGGAGACAAAATTAAATGACAGTAGATTGTGAGAACATATAGCTTTCATTTTCCACAACAATTGTCACGATTTCAGGTTTATACAAGCCTGTAAACAAGATAATTTACCCCCTAAAATGTAGATGAATTCTGCATCGGCCCTCAAAGCTATTCCTCATATGACGTCACAGAGTCGCGCCGCCTGATTGGTTGAAATTTCGTTCGCGGGTGAGAATTGTGCACTGTTGTCAAAAAGGTCGATTTAAGTCAATTAAAGGTCGAAATGAGTAGTTTTAATGACGGGGTTTCATTTATAACGATGCCAGTTAGTGATTTATGTATTTTACCCCCTAGGGTTTAACAAGTAAATTGTGACCTTTAACAATAACACCTTTGCTCCCTTCATTGTTGAATTAAAGTTTACCAAGAATGCTAATACACAGTTGACTTTTCCTGGACTGTATCAGCTGACCCACTTAACTCTGGTGGATACTTGTGATGTTGAATGTAACATCAGTGAGGTCGCTGGGGAGGCAACAATCACCCATGATGATTTTGATGGCAAGAATATTGAGCCAAACATTTTCTCTCCAGACTGGGCACAGGCCAAATATGAAAGTAACTGTATATCAACACAGAGACAAACATGTCAGTGCTTCCAGTACTAACTATACTGAGTCAAAAAAAGAAACTTCACATTCTTTCTTCAGGGCACTATAAAAGAACAAGAGATGGTAAGATGTTTAAATTGTTATTATTTCATTGCTGAGATCTGTGTGATGTACTCGATACACTGACAGTGCCATAATCAGTTCCATTAGGCTACACCGCCGTTCCAAAACATGCGTATACAGAATTTCAAGTCACAAGAATAAAAATGCGAAATTTCTCAGTTCAATATCGTGTATGGCCGCCCCGCGCATTCACCACTGCCAAACACCGTCTCCTCATCGACTGCCTGATGCTTGTAAACACGTGGTTGGGGATTCTGCGCCATTGCTCTTGCAAGGCAGCGCCAAGGTCCTGCAAATTCTGAGGTTGGTTAATAAGACCACGAAGCCTTCTCCACAGTGCATCCCAAACGTGCTCTATTGGATTAAGGTCAGGGGACCTCGATGGCCAGTCCATGACGTTGATTCCAGCGTTTTGAAGGAAATTTCGTGTCAACATCGCGGTATGCGGCCGAGCATTATCATGCTGGAACTGTAGACCTGGGCCATGAGCCGCCATGAAAGGAAAGAATTCAGGGGTGAGCACCTGGTTGCGGTAAGCAGCAGCTGTGAGGTTTCCACGGATGACCAGAAGTCGGGAACGGTTGTTCCCACAGAAAGCACCCCACACCATGCAACTTCCGCCCCCGAATCTGTCGATTTCCTGTACACAACATTGGGCATACCATTCACAACGTCGCCTGCCGTCCGCGAATCTGAGGGTAAACCTGGATTCATCGCTAAAGACGACTCGATTCCAGTCTTTCTGGGTCCATCGGGGGTGACGTTGGGCCCACAGCAGACGTTGACGTTGATGAAACGGCGTCAATATTGGCCCACGATATGGACGTCGAGAATGGAGATTGGCAGCCCGCAACCGATTTCGAATGGTCTGTGAGGACAGTCGACCTCTAAACATCTCTGCCCTGGTTCGTGTAGCCGGCAGAAATCTGTCACGTAGGTGACGTAGGACGATTTGACGGTCTTCTGCTCGTGACGTCACACGTGGACGATCCGACCTTGGGCGATCAGAAGTGGTGCCAGTTTGTTGTAGACGACCTCGCAAGTCATACACAGTACGACGGCTGCATCCCATTGCTCTTGCGACGTCAATAACTGATCTTCCCGCTTGCAACATGCCAACGGCACGTTCACGTTGCACATTTGACAATCGTGGCATTTCAAGTACCGTTAGAACTGTGGTTTAAAAGTGTTTTTTCAATTCTTGAGGCCAATGCAAACACGTGCATATGAAGACAACTTTGATGCGAAGATCACGTGATCGACTGCACGTGCAAAACCTGATTTGGCACTAACGTCATTTGCACGACGAATGGATGGGTTTGAGTGGGTTTTGCTAACGTTTTTCTAGAGTCGAAAGATAGGGATCCCATCATGGTGTGGGTAGGAATAGGCCTAGAGCGGGTCCTGTGGTGTTCCAGTACCTTGGTCCAGGGAGAGGAGGCTGCATCACAGCGATGCGCTACATCGACCAAGCTCTCAGACCCACGTCATACCACATTTCGCAAGTCACGGGAACAACATTTTCCATCATGATAACGCCCGGGCCCATACCGCCAGAGCTACACGTGACTTCCTACAGCAGAATGGTGTCAACATTATGCAGTGGCCAGCCCTTAGTCCTGAATTAAACCCAATTGAACATCTTTGGGATGAAATTCAGAGGAGACTGAATAATGTCATACCAAGGCCGAACACAGCCGATTTATTGCGACAGGCCTTTCTTAGCGTGTGGTTCCAGGTGCCAGTGGCCATCAATTGATTGGTGCACTCCATGTATAGACGCTGTGCTGCAGTTATTGCCGCTCGCGGTGGTCACACTAGATACTGAAGTCAAGAGTCTGAATGGACTGCAAACGTTCACGTAATGTCTTTGAATTATGCTGAGTTATTCATTGATGTGTCAAGATATCGTACACAAAAAATGTTTTTCATACGCTTATTATGTCCATTTCTGTAATGATTTGATTACAGTGCCTATCTAATTTTGAATTCGTACTGACGTTGTTTTTTTCCTGCAGAGTATATTTATGTATCCAGTTAAATTAATTGGTCTCAAAATTCTGGAATGGTTATTGTACTTAGTTGCGCAAAAGGATGGAACCCAGTCAACAGGAAACGAGACCGTTGTGTGATCAATGTTTTGACTTGACCAGATCGGGTGGTCAGACACGCTGACTTGATTGACATCATATTCCGAATGCGTAGATCTATTCCCATGATACTGATCACTGGATTGTCTGGACCAGACTCGATTATTGACAGATTGCCGCCATATAACTCGAAAGTTTACGAGTGCGGCGTTAAACAACAAACAAACAGAAAACTCTAATTCAGTACCAAGATATACAATTTCTCAAAGTTTGCCTGTAGTTTCTGTGTTTCCAGTCACCTGTCCCCTCTGAATCATTCCGACGAGAAATACTCATATGTAATCTTACCTCATTTTTCCCGTCAAGGTGGGATGTTATGCCCTAATTTGATAAAAAACTGGTCAGTTTGATCTTTCTTCATTTTTCAAAATTGTTTCCGAAGCAAAGCAAATCGATCTTGAGAATAAATGTATTTAATCACCACTACCGGGTGATCTAAATCTTAAGATTTCATGAAATAGGTTATATAATTCACGAAAAACATTATTTATATGTATTTTTGTCGTCCGTTCGCTCTCTTGTTGGATGAAGTTGGAGATGTGAAATGTATAACAGTACGGATGGTCTAAGGTAAATGGGCCCTCAGCTTACCGAACTCCTTCGCTAGGAAACCCGCAATGACCATACTCTGTGCATACTGTTTGCCGTTCACCTCAAGCACCGGGATCTGTCCGAATGGAAGATCTGAAAAGAAACGAACCGCGAGTAAACATATTCTAATTACTCGTGTATTAGTTTGGGATTCAAATGGCAGCATTATGAAAGAAGTAGTATACACAATAGCAGAACGGGATCACGTCCTTCCCAAAGCCTTAATTAGGTAATTAAGGCTTTGGGAAGAACCTAATCACTTTCCTATGTTGTGTATACTATTACTTTCATAATGCTGCGAGGCGATTGAAAAATATTTTAGCAAAATGTCTCCTGCTGTCACAACCCCATCGAGGGAGAGAGAAATAGAAAGATGCGATGCGCAAGCTTCCTCCCTCGTGGCATTGCATCCAACTGTGTACTCTCGACGAGAGCGCCCCCTTCCAGATAACCTTACATAAAGTTTCGAGAGTTGCAAGGAAACCATAGAGGCTAGACGGGATACAAACTCACAAATCGCACAGTTGCGCGGCTGCACGGAAGCAAGCTGACCCCAGCAGCTACTCGAACTGAGTCTCGGTATTCGATTTTCCTAGTTGAGCGAGCGTGGTGTCAGAGATGACAGGTCACAGTTCACAGGTCACAGGTCACAGTTCACAATTGTTTTCCTAGTCTGGGTTGGGCGAGCGCGGTGGGCGAGTCGCAGTGTGTTTGTCTCTCTGCACTGCTATTCATCAACAGCTCGCTGAGCTGGCTGGCTACGGTATTTAATGATAGTTTTGGACGAGGTCCCTCATTTTTTTTACGATCCATTGCTCCTGCGGGAGTAAAAATATGGTTGAATGAATGATGGTGGACCGTATCTCTCTATTGCCAGGTGTTCAGCTCGGATTGATAAGTAGCTCTCATTCGCTGAGCACTATCAGTGGACTTCATAGTGTGATGGTAACAGAGCTGGATTCACAATACTGAGGTCCAGCGTTCGAATCGCAGTAGCAGCCACCCTAGCCAGTTGACAGTGACAGGAGGTTATGTAGGCCAGACGTACATACAAGAACGTTTGACCCACTTATATATCCTACTGAGACTGCATAGCCACCACGGCTCTGATGACGAATTTAGGCTGTGAAATTGGAGCTGATGGCTGATATCACGAGAAATACAACTCTGAAATATTGACGGGCTTGATTCAAGGAAGCCCTGTTCAAGAATTAAACGTTCAAACACCAAATGAACATGTTGAGAAGCGACGGACACAGGATATACGGACTGAGAATCAACAAGACGTCGCTGTCTCCCATGGACACAAAACGATGGAGACACCACTTACGCCTACGGACACACGCACATATTAAATGGGCACAAAACGCACACAATACATACATGGAGAACATTTATTACAGCCCACGCGTGTACTGGAAAGGTGCGGTTGCCATCCCGAAACTCGCCAAAGCCGCTCGAGTCTCAGAAGAGAAAGCCGAAGCTTGGCTGAAAAAACAAGCTATCTGGCAAGTCTACCTTCCGGAACTGAACGCTGTCAATAAATTTCAGACCGTCTAACGAGAATAAGATGGTTTTTTTCCATGTTGTTGGGGATGCACGTAAGGTTGCTGTTGACCTTCGCGATGGCCTGCATGATCAAGTGAGAATCGTAACCGCGAAGATTGAGAAATACGACGAGGATTTTGATGGTTTTGGGATTGATTTTGAGCTTCAAGTTGCACGCGTCGTGAGAGACACCTCTATACTTACCGGTGACAGTCATCTCTCACGGAATCACCACACAGGGTTTCGTCGCACACGTGGCAGTGAGTGCTGTCGTCGTGAGCTCACTGCTCGTCTTGGGTCATGCGCATGGGGACGATGGTGTACAACTTTTTTCTGATGATTTACTCTTCGCTTTCCAAACACCTGAGAATTTTTTCGGCCGCGTCAGGACCTCTGTACATCACGGGAGCGTTGGTTTTCCCGTCGCATCGAATGACCACGTAACCGAACCCGCAGGCTTCATGCTCTAGCGTTTTGTGAGTGAAACTTTTTCTGGGGATTTGAACGGCCATCTCTCCCACACCTCGGCAGGTCGGCTCCCGTGAAGCCATGCAGGCACCGTTCGCAAAAGTGTTTTTTCCCGTCGTATTTCTATTGATCATACAACAGTCTGCTGAAACTTTTATCCATGCGTAGTGATACTTGTCGGCTTGCTGGATCATGAATTATCTGATCGTCTTGCGTCGTCTGTCGTTCGGGAGGGATCCTGTGCACGATCGTTTTGTTCCCTTCGTGTCCGAAGATGTTGATGGCTATGTGGTCGTTCTGTTTTTCGATTTTGGGGATCTAGGAGATGGGAGTGGGTTCGTCTATGCCGTCCCAGTTAAGCCCATCGTCTTCGGGATAGCTTGAATGTCTGTTCGAATTAACGTTAGCCGGAAACAAAACTGATCTGATCGAAACACTCAGCATTTGTTTTTGACGTTGACCATGGCTTGTTTTCTCTTGTAATATTGTGGCAAGTCCAGGTATGATCTGCCTTTGAAAGGTTCGTACTTGGCTACGTCCAGATAAACTGTGTCGATCCTGTCCACGACCCACCCGGAACCCATGTGCGTGTAGTGTTCCAGTGATTCTCTTATTTTTTGCAACGAGGTGTCGATGGACGCATGAATGAGCTCGACTTTCCTCATGCGCGAATAACCTCTCAGCCCACTTTCCTTCGCTCGGAGCTTGAGTTCTTTCACCGTGGCAGGAGGAGGTTGTTCGACAGGTTTCACTCCACGTTTTAGTCTAATTGTTTTGCAATCAACACGGTCACAGCTAGACCCAGCATGATTAAATTCAGCTCCCGGCATTTCTGTTCCGGGGAAGGCATGTAATACTGATTGGTTTTTGCCTGCGAGTCGTTGATGTTTACGTTTCGCTTCAACTTCGGACTCGTTCGACGTTCGAAATTTGGAGAAGAGATAATTGCTGCCGGAAAATGCCAGGCCGTTGACTAAAGCCCCCACCGACCATCACGGCAATCGTAGCCAATTTGTATATTATTCTATAATGTTTAATATTACTTTAAAATATTTTCCGGTATAATTCCTTGTTTCACGAGAATGTCCTTGGTGGCCATTGCCATCCCTAAGTCCATGACGAGCATGCCCATGTCCTGCACATTGAAGTCGAGTTTGATCATAGGTTGTTTGAGAACCATTTTCTTTATACAAGCGTAACCTACGACCACTGGCGCGACCACTGCGGCGTGATATGCATCGTTGACGAATGTTTTTCCTTCAGACATCGTGTGTGTATATAAAATATATATTAATTGCATAATATGCGGATTGACTTCTAATTGTGGTTGCGGCGTTGGTTTGGTGGTGGTTTTGGCTTGTTATTATCATATAGCATAACGGCAACCACGCTTAATGCTGTTGCCATGGGGACAGCTGCTGCAGTGGCAATCCACCGAGTATATTAGGTATTATTTTTGTGGTGCTTGGCTAAACCACCTTTTCTACCGGCGGTGAGGATTTTTGGTGGTGACTAGTTGCATCAGTGTTGACTCCTCCTCTGGCGTTGTCGTTTCCTCCTGTTGCAGGGCAGCATCCATGTTGTATATTATTATTTTGTTCTTCTTTAAATTGAAAATGCTTTGCCGTGATGATCGGTTACCGGAGCCAAAAACATGACATATCTGTAGTACAGCACGCAGCTGACACCGCTCAAAGCGTGTTCAATGAACGGATCATTCTCGAGAGCTTCCCCGCTGGTAAAGTCGACGTTCCGGCGGAATGGGAAGGAAGTACGACTCTATGCCAGGGTGTATATCTGAGTCATGGCCGAACCTATGGTTTTCGCCATTTCGTCGCCAAGTCTTGACTTGTCGTTCACGTACAGCTTATCGATTTCTTCGGCGGGCATTTTATGAAGTTTATCGGGAGTGTGGTCCCCACCCAAGTATTGTTTGGCTTTGCCGCTGACAGCGAGCGCCACCAGTATTATCATCATTATCCATCATCATTTGTTCAAGCAGTTCGTTGCAATCAATCTTATAATGTAACAGAGGATTTTTAAATCTAAATAAATAAAATACGACGCACGCTAAAACACTCGACAAGGTACGGGCTGGTCCGTTTTTAGGACGAGTTTTGTCGTTTCATTTTGGCTAACAGTTTCTTCACTCAGTCTCGTTCTTGTTTGGTTGGGATCACGTCCTTTTGTGGCAAGCATTCCTCGAACGAATCCCTGTCCTTGCAGTAAAATATGGCGATCCATCGCGTCTGTTCCCGTAAGTCTTTCAGCACCGAGTTGAATTTCTGCATCAGCACCCAAACGCTGTGTTTCATGTGCCGGCCTGAGAAGGCCAGGTACGACAGCACGTCTCTTTTTTTCACGATTTCCTTGGTGCTGCAGTCGTCCAGGATGAACAGCGTCGATTCTCCTTTAAATTTGTCGTGGTAAGCGCACAACCAGTCCTGAAGTCACCATCGCCAGCGTTCTGACAACCTTGGGCTTCATCATCCTTGGGCTTCATCATATCGACCCTGGTCGTATCGCTGTCGGGCAGCGGCACACCAAGCCCAACACCACCAAGTCAATCAGGCGACGTCCGAGGCTTGATAAAAAAAAACATTTGAAATCTCTGATTGTTTGCCTGCACGTGAGGAGGCTGCTGCTGCTGTCATCATCATGATTTTACTTCCGGGTGTCGGGGGTGGCGCCACCACGATGCCAGTTTCACTCGTATGCTACGGTGCGACTCGACTCACGTTATTGACATCCGGATTCACGCCCAACTGTTGATCGCCGGTGGCGATGACGATTTCATTGTTGTAGACCATGTCTCTGTTCACCCTCAGTTGCATGTCGGTCTGAGCCATATACAGTACCACGACGAACATGTAGTCGACTTTCGACCGGGCGTATTCCAGAGCGTTTTGATAGTGCTCCATGACACTCGGCAGATCGACCGGAGATGCGATGGCATCCTCGACGGTCGACACGAACTGTTTCTGCACGTTATAAGCCGTCCCTTGACCGACGATGCCGGAATGCGTTTGCGTCTGCGCGCCCAGCACAGCCCACACGTACGTTCGAAATACGATGCC